GCGGCATTCATACCGCTCTTTTAAAGTATTTATTTGTTTTACCATCGTGAAACGTGAAAATAATTTTGTATTTATTATTTTTTACAATAAATCATTATATTTTTGTAGCGATTTTTTCTATAGATTTAATCTTTACATTTGAGACATTCATTTTAAGAAAATTCTTAATACTACAAGCAAAATTTTCAACCACTGAAAAATCTTTTAACTTTTAAGAAAGCGTACCACTTAATTTTTATTTAGGCCTCAATTGGATACACTCGTACCTAAATGAGAACACCCTTGTTTTTCGTAACTATTCCTATTTAACTCTTGGACTCCTGGTATTCTATTTTTGATTGGTATACGTTCGATATTCGATATCATTAAATTATTGGGTATTGTCGGTTACACTAATTAGGTGTTTAATCATTATTTAAACTATCTCTAAACAATTGTCATATACCCACCTACCTATTCGAATTTTCTGAGTTAAGTTAGTAGATACGTACTTTTGATATTTAAAAAAAAAGTAGTCGATAATTTTATTTTTTCTTTTTATCTAATTATTTCAATCTACAATTTATTCTAGAGTACAACAAATTAGCTGAACACTTTTTTATTCGGTGTAATGTCGTATATTTATTTCTTATATTTTTTAACTCTCCTGGTATATATATTTATTCAAGAAAAACAGTTTTATTTCGTTGAGCTTGACTGAATTTAACCCAACAGCTTCAAGGTCGGCATATTCGTGAAAGGCACAAAGCTGATAAGAAACTGTTAGTGTAAAAAACTAGAAAGATATGTATTCGTCTGAGTAATGTGGTCGAGTCGTGATGTTGGACAGTGCCTCTCTGTTGTTACCGTTTAAAATTTAATGTGTTAATCTAATATAGTGAACGAATAATGCGATAAACAAATTTTTCCTTTGGCAAAGTTAATTGGTATAATGTGGTTAAACTAACTAACAATGAGGTGAGTTATATACTGTTCTTCTTTTAAATATTTAGATTTCATATTATGTCGTTCTCGGTTTTTACTTTATATAAAAACATATTATTAATTTTTAGTGCTGTAAGGTAGGTAACAATTTTCTTTGTTCCTTTACTTGGTACATAGGTATTTCTTTTCAAGAATATTTTAAATTCATTCTTTTGATAAATTTAACAATTTCTATTTTCATTCATAGACTGATGACACTCTTTCTGAAACATGCAATCAACCTTCTAGAACAACGTCAGTTGTTGAATCGAAATGTTTGCTCGGTAAGAAATTTTACTAAAATATTCATGATGATTTTCAACTTAATTTATTGTTTTGTAGCTGCACCTCGATTACAAGCATTGAGGAACAGGGAGCAAGGATACAACGCAGTCGGTAGTGCAATAAGGCAATACGCTTTAGAATTATCAAAAGATAAAAGTACAACATTTGCTCAAAATATTGATAATTTTATCGCTTGTACGTCGGTCGGACACTATTATAAACTAATGAATGAGTATTTGCGTAATTTTCAAAGTAGTTCCCAAAAATATCTTGTATATTAATACCACTGCTTTTTGTATGCTTTTTGATACGATTACTTTTTAGTATTTGCTGAATGCAGCAAAATGCCTTCAAACTACAATTATGATAATAGAANCACTCTTTCTGAAACATGCAATCAACCTTCTAGAACAACGTCAGTTGTTGAATCGAAATGTTTGCTCGGTAAGAAATTTTACTAAAATATTCATGATGATTTTCAACTTAATTTATTGTTTTTGTAGCTGCACCTCGATTACAAGCATTGAGGAACAGGGAGCAAGGATACAACGCAGTCGGTAGTGCAATCAGGCAATATGCTTTAGAATTATCAAAAGATAAAAGTACAACATTTGCTCAAAATATTGATAATTTTATCGCTTGTACGTGCGAATCAAAGGAATCAAATCCTCAGGTAACCGTTTAATTTTGTCTCATTTATGCAGTTTTACCATTGTAACTTTTGTTTTTGTTTATTCGTCCAGGTTGTGATGCGAAATATGCGGCAATTCATGTCAGGAATGAAAAACTACTTGGTAAAACATGGAGAGAAAGGTTTTAACAAAGAAGTAGAAAAAGAACGCAACAAGGTTAATATTTTAAGTTTCAAGTTGTGCCAAAGCTGTGCTAATTTTTTTATTGACGTTACAGTTGAAATCGACTGAATTTTTAAATTTGGATGCAATTTTGGAGGGAGTCATGCACAAGCTGGTTGTAAGGCCATTGAAAGCACATCTACAAAAACTCTTTGTCGACTATTACACTAAGACTGGTGCCATTAAATTACTAGCTGAAAATATACAGTACGCAAGTACCAGACCGATCTCAGAATTAGCCGTTAAGGTAAATTGAATTATTGTTTTATATACATATATATAATTTGAAAATGTACAAATTTTAGCCGAAAATTAGTCTGCCAAGTGAAGCAGCACTTTTAACAATATCTCAGTATGTAACCAGATTACAGGCTGCGGATTCTCCACTCGAAAAATTGGAGTATCTTCTAGCATCAATTGCAACAATATTTAATTCGGTAACTATTTAAATGATATTATTTATTTAGCACTTTCCCATCAATGATTCCATGTTTTATCAGGTAAAGAGTAGTCAAATATCAGGCTCAGGTAAACCTATTATTATGGGAGCAGATGATTTTCTACCGTTGTTTGTGTGGGTATTGGTGAAAACGAACTTTGTCGCAGCTGAAATTGAAGCAGAGTATATGTGGGGTAAGAATTTAAACGTCTTCTTTTGTTGTTTAATTAGTTGTAATGTTGTATTTCTTTAGGGCTCCTTCATCCATCCCTTTTGTCTGGCGAAGGTGGATATTATTTAACTACACTTTCCTCAGCTGTACACGTACTCAAGAGTTTTAAGGAAAACGGCGAAGAAAACCATACAAACAATATTAAAAATGATGTAAGTATACTTTTGTAGTATTAATCTTGTAAACAAATGTATTTTGAAATAAATTTTATCTTTTTTTTAGTCTGTTTTAAAAGTAATTGTTCCTGATGAACTTCATGGTTCCATTTTAACCAAAACATTGCCCGCGCGACCGCATATGACTACAAAAGAAGTTTGCAAAATAATAGCACATAAGGCAAGAATAACCAATCCTCAGGACTACGCATTGTATAGACTTGTAGATGGAGAAGGTAAAATATAAATTTTGAGTAGATATGTATACAATTGTTATTAGACAATAAGTTTATTAATTATAGACTAAATTTGAACTTATATTAAATTTTTACTTACAGAAACAATATTAGCAGACAGTGAGTGTCCTCAGGACTTCATGAACGAAGGGAGACATGTGCGATTGGCATATAAAAGAATAGATGCGAAAATCGCGTGGCCAAAGCAGCAGTCGAATTAACAAATACTAGTCATATTTTTTTACCACATTTGGCTGTCATTCTCTGTTGTTATTGTGGATAATACCAACGTTTATGTTGATAATGTTATAACATTTTATGATAGCAGGTAATCGCCAGGATGCAATCTTCAGTAGGTACTGTAAAAAAATTAATACATATTTTATAATACTTAACTGTGGTGTAACAATTTGTCGTTTGATACTTTTTTAAAAAATAAGTGTTGTAAAGTGTATTAACCGCGGCATTCATACCGCTCTTTTAAAGTATTTATTTGTTTTACCATCGTGAAACGTGAAAATAATTTTGTATTTATTATTTTTTACAATAAATCATTATATTTTTGTAGCGATTTTTTCTATAGATTTAATCTTTACATTTGAGACATTCATTTTAAGAAAATTCTTAATACTACAAGCAAAATTTTCAACCACTGAAAAATCTTTTAACTTTTAAGAAAGCGTACCACTTAATTTTTATTTAGGCCTCAATTGGATACACTCGTACCTAAATGAGAACACCCTTGTTTTTCGTAACTATTCCTATTTAACTCTTGGACTCCTGGTATTCTATTTTTGATTGGTATACGTTCGATATTCGATATCATTAAATTATTGGGTATTGTCGGTTACACTAATTAGGTGTTTAATCATTATTTAAACTATCTCTAAACAATTGTCATATACCCACCTACCTATTCGAATTTTCTGAGTTAAGTTAGTAGATACGTACTTTTGATATTTAAAAAAAAAGTAGTCGATAATTTTATTTTTTCTTTTTATCTAATTATTTCAATCTACAATTTATTCTAGAGTACAACAAATTAGCTGAACACTTTTTTATTCGGTGTAATGTCGTATATTTATTTCTTATATTTTTTAACTCTCCTGGTATATATATTTATTCAAGAAAAACAGTTTTATTTCGTTGAGCTTGACTGAATTTAACCCAACAGCTTCAAGGTCGGCATATTCGTGAAAGGCACAAAGCTGATAAGAAACTGTTAGTGTAAAAAACTAGAAAGATATGTATTCGTCTGAGTAATGTGGTCGAGTCGTGATGTTGGACAGTGCCTCTCTGTTGTTACCGTTTAAAATCTAATGTGTTAATCTAATATAGTGAACGAATAATGCGATAAACAAATTTTTCCTTTGGCAAAGTTAATTGGTATAATGTGGTTAAACTAACTAACAATGAGGTGAGTTATATACTGTTCTTCTTTTAAATATTTAGATTTCATATTATGTCGTTCTCGGTTTTTACTTTATATAAAATATATATTATTAATTGTAGTGCTGTAAGGTAGGTAACAATTTTCTTTGTGTTCCTTTACTTGGTACATAGATATTTCTTTTTTTAAATATGAAAATTTAAG